GGTACATGCCTTTAATCCCAGCACTTGGGAGGCAGAGGCAGGTGGATCTCTGTGAGTTCAAGGCCAGCCTGGTCTACACAGTGAGTTCCAGGACAGCTGGGGCTACAGGGAGACCCTGTCTCAAAACAAACAAACAAAAAAAGAACATTGTTCTTGCAGAAGACCCAGTTTGGATTCCCAGCACCTACATGGCAGCTAACAACTGTCTGTAGCTCCAGTTCCAGGGGATCCAATAGCCTCTTCTGTCCTCCATGGGCATTGAGACATGGTTGCACTAACCTACATGCAGGCATAACACTCATACATATAAAATAAAAATAATAAATAAAATATTTTAATATTTTATTTTTATTTCTGGGGCTGGAGAGATGGCTCAGTGGTTAAGAGCACTGGTTGTTCTTTCAGAAGACCTGGGTTCAAATCTCACTACCGAGCCGGGCGTGGTGGTGCACGCCTATAGTCCCAGCACTTGGGAGGTAGAGGCAGGCGGATCTCTGTGAGTTCAAGACTAGCCTGGTCTACATAGTGACTCCAGGACAGCTGGGGCCTACAGGGAGACCCTGTCTCAAAAAGAAAAAAAAAAAAAACAAATCTCACTACCGACATGGTGGCTAACAACCATCCATAACTCAGTTCCAGGGGATCCGACACCTTCTTCTGTCCTCCGAGGGTACTGCATGAAATGGGTACACTTACACACATGCAAGCAAGGCACTCATACACATAAAATAAAAAGGAATAGCCAGGCATGGTGGCGCACGCCTTTAATCCCAGCACTTGGGAGGCAGAGGCAGGTGGATCTCTGTGAGTTCAAGTCCAGCCTGGTCTACATAGTGAGTTCCAGGCCAGCTGGGACTTCAGGGAAACCCTGTCTCAAAAAGACAAAAAAATAAAAAAGAAAAAAAAGAAAAAGAAAAAGAAATAAAATTTTTAAAATTTTATTTATTTTTATGTATATGAGTGTCTTGCCTGCATGTATGTAAGTGCTCCCTGCATGTATGTAAGTGCACCATATGTGTATGTTGCCTGCAGAGGCCAGAAGAGGGTGTCAGATCTCCTGGAACTGGAGCTACAGATGGTTGTTAACCACCATGTAGGTACTCAACTCTAAATGAGCCTCATCCTCCCATTTTCAAAAAGTTTTATTTTGTCAGCTAGAGCGATGGCTTAGTGGTTGGGAGCACTAGCTGCTCTTGCAGAGAACCTGGGTTCAGTTCCCAGCACCCACATGGCAGCTAACAACCATCCTGTTTTAGGATATCTGATGCCCTCTTCTGGCCTCTGCAAGCATTGCTTGACAGGGGTGTACTTACATACACACAGGCAAAACACTCATACATATAAAATAGATATTGGGGGCTGGAGAGATGGCTCAGTGGTTAAGAGCACTGGCTGTTCTTGCAGAGGACCTGGGTTCAGTTCCCAGCACCCACATGGCAGCTAACAACCATCTGTAACTCCTCCAAGTCCAGGGACTCCAATGTCTTCTTTTGACTTCCACAGGCTTTGCACAACATAGTGCACTTACATGCATTCAGGCAATATACTCATACCCATAAAATAAAATAATAAATAAAAATGTAAAACATTAAATCAAATTATATTTAATATTTTTTTAAAGCCAGGCAGGCATGGTGGCACATGCCTTTAATCCCAGCACTGGGGAGTGAGAGGCAGGGTGTCTCTGTGAGATGGAGCACAGTCTCCTCTATATAAGGAGTTACAGGCCAGCTGGGGCTACAGGGAAACCTGTTCTCAAAAACAAAACAAAGCAAAACCAACCAAAACAACAATGAAACCCCAAAGAAACAAACAAACAAAAATATTCACTGTCATGTACCTGTGGAGGCCGATGACTTTTGACCACCCTTGGAGCAGGAATTACAGGCAGTTGTGAGCCGCCCTCACAGGGGGATTCTAGGCAGGTGCTGATGTGGGGTCTGGGAACTGAAGAACAGTCTGTGCTCTTAACCATCCCTCTCCAGCCCCTCTCCTTCCATGTCTCTTACTGTCTTTCTAGCACTTATCAGGGCCTGAAATTTTCTTCCCAGGTCTGTGCTCGTCTTCATGGGCAAAACAAACTAAAGCTAGGGCTGCTGGTGAGCTCGAATGAGCGTCTGGTACACACGTATGTGTTAGGTGCTATTCATTTTGTGTATGGTGGTGTCACCATCTTTAAACTCAAGATCTAGGAGAGCAACTTTGTTTTGTTTTGTTTTTGGTCTTTTTGAGACAGGATCTCCCCGTAGCTAGCTGACCTGGAACTCGATATGGAGATCAGGCCGGCCTTGATCTTACAGAGAACCACCTGCCTCTGCCTCCCAAGTGTGAGGATTAAAGGCATGCACCTCCATGCGTGGAAAGGAGGAAAGCAACTTTGAGATTAACTTGATCACTATGGAAACCTTGGACAGAGCTTTGCATATAGTAGGTACTCGGGTTACTCTGTGTGTGTGTGTGTGTGTTTGTGTGTGTGTTGCTGGGGATTGAACCCAGAACATTAAACATGCTAGGCAAGCATTCTACCACTGAACTCAGCCCCCATCCCCTCACTGGGGGATTCTAGGTAAGGACTCTACCACTGAGTCAGCCCCCCAACCCACACTGGGGGATTCTAGGCAGGTGCTCTACCGCTAAGCCTCAATCCCAGCTTGGTTTTTAATGGCAATCTCACTGTATAGTCCAGGCTAGCCTTAAACTTGTGATCCTTCTCCTGTGACTTCAGAGTGCTGGGATCATAGATGTGTGTTCCACACCCAGTTCTCAGGAAGCTGCTGAGTAAGGGGAAGGAGGTTCACAGGTCTAGGAACTCCACTTTTCAGATGCAGAAACTAAAGCTTAGGGTCACACAATCAGAATGTGATGGAGGTAGGAGTCAAACCCAGATAAATCTGGTTCCAAAGCTTCCAGTGTGTCCTGAGGGAAGCCTTACTCTGCTTTCAGCCTCACTTCTCTACCTATAAAAACATGGTCTGTGTTCAGCAAAGGTGGCTCAGTGGGTAAAGTCACTTGCTGTCAAGTCTGACATCTGAGTGCAATCCCTGGAGCCCATGTAGTGGAAGAAGAGAGTCAACTCCCAAAAGTTATCCTCTGACCACCACAGGCACACCACTACAAGTGGCAGGTGGCTCATATGCATCTTAAAACCACCTGTTATTCCAGCTCCAAGGGATCCAATACCCTCATCTGGCCTCTGCTGGCACTCACACACAGAGCACATACACACACACACACACACACACACACACACACACACACACACAGATTCTGGAAGCTGGCCCTCGTGGTGCTGCCCTGTATTCCCAGCACCGGAGGGAGGGAGGAGACTGAAGATGAGAGAATCAGAGATTTAAGGTCATCCTCAGCTACACAAAGAGTTCCAGGCCAGCCTGGGGTACATGAGGCCCTGCCTCAAAATAAAAATAAAAGCCAGGCATGGTGATGCACACCTTTAATCCCAGAACCTGGAAGGAAGAGGCAGGTGGATCTTTGTGAGATTGAGGCCAGCCTGAGCTACATAGTGAGTTCCAGGCCAGCTGAGGGCTACAGGGAGACCCTGTCTTTTAAAAAAGAAAAAAATAATAATTAAGTAAATAAATAAATTAAAACTGAAAAGAAAAACAAGGTCTAGAAACTGGGCCTTGGCATTTTCCTGTAATCTCAGCACCTGGGTGGTGGAGGCAGGATTGCTAGGAAGTAGCTTAGGCTACATAATGGGTTTTAGGTCAGACTGGCCTAACAGAAAAATCCCTTCACAAAGATCAAACAAAGCAGGGCTGGAGAGATGGTTTAGCAGTTAAGTGCACTGGCTCCTCTGGCAGAGGATCCAGGTTCGATTCCCAGTACCAACGTGGTGGCTAACAACTGTAGGTAATTCCAGTTTAGGGGATCAGACACCCTCTTCTGGCCTCCGCCAGCACTGCATGAACAAACACATGAAGGCAAAACACTCATATACAAAATAAAAGAACTCCCAAGAAATGAAAGGAAACAAAGGCAGGAATCATGGTATACATCTGTAACCCCAGCATCAGGGAAGTGAAGACAAGTGTATCAAGATCAGGAGTTCAAAGTCAGCCTGGGCTAATGAGGCCCTGACTCAAATAAAAAGCAACAAAAGCCAAACAAGGTGGCTCTTGTCTGTAGTGTCAATACTTGGGAGGCTGGGTTGGAGGCAAGCCTGCGTTATGTATGCAATGAGGTACTCTCTCAAAAATACAGAACAACGCAAACACAAAAACAAAATAAAACAAAATGAATCCCTGGCCTGGATCATGGCTAGGCGTTGACCTTCAGTGGAGACTTGGGATAGGCAGTCCAATCTTGAAATCCATTGTCAGATTTAGCACCTAACCCCTCCCCACCCCCAGCTTTGGTGCCAGCTTGTACCGACGTGGTCAGCTGGTCTGGGTTTAACAACTCGGTCTGTGTCAAAATGCGGACTGGATAACGCTGTTGTGGCAGACTAGGACTCTAGGGGAGGGGGCTAGTGAACCAGGGGGCGGGGTCAAATTTTGAGGGCGGAGCTAATCCTATAGGAAGGTGTGGTTCTGGGTTCTGGGTTTAGTTTAATTCTTAGGTTAATCGGGGGCATGGTTAATGGCTCTGGGGGTGGGAATAGAACTTTAGCTGCCACAAGACCCAAGCCTCTGGGGGGCGGGGCTAGCTCAAATAAACAAGGACTGGGGACCCAGCTGGAATGAAAGCGCAGCTGCGCACAGGGTACCTGGGCAGACTTGAGGTTTAGATGTCAGGCTCTGATCATGCGAAGGAACTTCTGGGAAATCCAATAAAAGATTTAGGAGAGGTTTTTGGAATAGGGGAGTGTCTTCTTCCACCTCATCCTCCTCTCAGAACTGGGGGCTACCGCTTCGGGATGAAAAGCAGGAAAGACCCTGCCCCCTCCAACCTGTCTGCATCCGTATTGGCCGAGGAGCCTGTGCGACAGGCTCTCATTGGTTCCTAACAGGCAAGGGGGGGGGGCGGTCTAGAGAAAATGCACTCAGTTTGTGGGCGGGACCAGACAGTACCTAGGGGGGACCCGGACGCAGCCAATCCTGGCCTGAAGATCGTGTTGGGGACTGGCAGTGCAGTCTCCCGACCCCCCTTTCTGGGCATCCTGGGGGATGACCCCAGTGCCAGGCTGGGCGCCGGCCGCCTGATGCTGGGTGGGCCAAGCTGGGGATGCTGGAACGAAGGGCGTTGCTATGGCAACGGGAGGCAGGGCCTGGGGGGGGGACCGGGCCCGGGCTGGGGCTGGGGGGGCCGGTTGTGGCTGTGGCGGGGCGATGGCGGAGCGCGGCCCGGCCTTCTGCGGTCTCTACGACACGTCTTCGCTTCTACAATACTGCAACGGTGAGACCGCTCAGTTCCCACCCTGGCCCCACTCTGGGCTGGCCCTGTCTCCTCTTGCCCCAACCCTCTTCTTCCAAGTCCTTAGCTCCCGGTTTTCCCTATAAACAGGATTTTGACCCCGGAGCAAGGTTCCCCATCCCCAAAGCCAAGAGCCGATGTCCCACCTGCTCCCAAGGTGGCTAGATAGAAGGAAGGATAAATATCCTGAAGAAGCCTGTGCTTAGAAGGAGGGAAGGCCTGGAAGGGGGGGGGGTGTCTGCTGAGCCTGGAACCCAGTCTCCCCCCTCAACCCTCTGGGACCCTACTCTGTGTCCCTAGCATGGCAGGGGGAGGCAGACAGCTGGGGGTGGGGTGGGTGATGCTAAGTTGAGGGCTGGGCATTGGACCAGTCAAACACCAAAGGACTTCCCCTCTACTCTATTCCCAGTCTTCAGCCCTGCCCCCCTCCCACCCATTTCTCCCTAGACGGATGACTATGGCCCCAAAAGGGCCATTTTGAGTGTCTAGCTCGGATGAGGGGTCCTGAGAGGGAGAAGAGGGAAGACAGGAGAAGTGGAAAGTGGGGGCTGGTCTCTGGGCCTGTAGAGACCAGAGAACTTGAGTCACTGGGTGGGACCATCAGACCCAAGGCCTCAGCTTGAAGCTGGCTGCTCAGGGTCAATCTGCCCCCAGGGCACTCCTAGGAGAAGGGCCTGAGAAAGGGCTGTTTCTGAGTTTGGAGGTCACTCCCCTGGGCACACACCCTTTGGCCAGAGACCCCTGGAGTTGGCAGATGACCTAGAATGTTCATCTCATCCTTTTTGCCTTTAAGGGGCAGGATGACAGATCAAGTATGGGTTCTGCCCCTAAAAGGGAAAAAAGATGTGTTTCCTTGCAAAAGTGACTTTGACCTTCTGGACTCCCATGTACTGCAGCTATTTGATTTGGGGTGCATAAGGTGCGTTAGGTACCATATTTAATGGCTTATTTTATTCTGGATTTATTAACCATATATCATGTTCTGGGAAACATGGTAATCCAGGGCCTAATTGATATAGAATTAACTGTAGTATTACTAATGGTAGGTAGAAAGGGCTCCATATAAGGCCGATGGTTGTCTCCTGACCCCCCTCCCTAACTGGCTAAGTGACCCTTGTCTCTAAACTCCCTCCCTCCCTCCCACCTCTCTCTTCAATTTCTTCCTTTTGCAAAATGTGATGACCTATAGAATCTTGGGACTTCTTAATGGATTTCAATTCTCTGCAGCACTCTCCCTCTGACCTCTAGAGCCCACCCCCATCTTCCTTCTGCAGGTTCATCCAAACACCGGACCTGAGAAGGCTGAGTAGGTGGGGGGAGGGAGGGAGGGAGGGCGATAGGCGATTGGGCCACGGAGGGAGAGGGGGGGGACCAGAGGCTGCAGTGCAGGAGCCCAACAGACAGGCTGGGCAGCCTAGGGACACAGGATGGCAGGTGCAACCTCCGGCCTCGCTCATGTTCCTGATACCATCTTTATTTAAACCAGGCTGAGATTCAGGGCCTCCTCAGCTGTGGTCAGCAATGAGTCTGGGTAGGAATGGTCTGGGAGGGGAGGGAGAGGAAGGCCACCTAAGACATCCCCCCCTCACCTGGGGGAGGGAATGGACAGAGTAAGGGGGAGCGATGGAGTCACTGAAAACTGTACCTGTGGGTTGAAGAGAAGGGAAAGAGACAAATCTAGGGTGGGGTATAGAGGCTACATAAAAGGAGGGGGACAGAGGAGAGAAACTCTGGCTAGGCCAAGGGATCCGGTGTCATCCTTGGCATCTCTGCCTGCTTGGGTCTCTAGGGTCTAAGTGATGCCTGCAATCCCTATGTCTGCCGCCAGGGGTCGTAGACGCTCTATCCTTGCAGCTTGAGGGGGGGCCGAACCCCTTAAGAGAGGAAAGGAAGGGGAAGTGGGGGAGGAACATGACCCAACCTTTTGGTTTGGAAAGTCTTAGATACGGAGAGAGAACGTGCATATCTGCAATAGAGTATTGATATTCGTCAGAACGGTGGGGCCCCGCTCTAGAACGTTGTCACTAGTAGGTTGATGTCATCTTTTCGATGCTGATATCACTCAGAGGTATTTAGCATCTTAGTCACAGAATCTTAAAAGCAGAGTGAGGCTCTGGGATGGGTGGATGTTGCAAGATAGAAAGGGACTTTCCCCACCACCATCACCCCCCCCAGGTCGCATGGAGGGGACGGGAGGGGGGAGAGCGAGAGAGCTAGAGAGAGCTAGAGACAGACCTGGGATTTACTATCTAGCTACTACTATCTATGCATAACACATGAATGCATATGGGGGAGGAGGGAGGGGGATGAGGAGAGAGAGGAGAGAGAGAGAGAGAGAGAGAGAGAGAGAGAGAGAGAGAGAGAGATCCTCCTTGTGGGAGCCCTCTTCTCATGCCATTCTCCAAGCATCCCAGGGTGCAGGAAAAGCAGGGAGCATGGCTGGTCCCTGATAGACCCTGGAAAGACCCGGGACGCTCCTGGCCTGGGAGCCCCTGGTGGCCCCCTTGCAGCCAGCGTCTCCCTGGCGTTCCAGATGACAATCTGTCGGGTACCAGTGGTATGGAGGTGGACGACCGCGTGTCGGCGCTGGAGCAGCGGCTGCAGCTGCAAGAAGACGAACTGGCGGTCCTAAAGGCGGCGCTGGCGGACGCGTTGCGTCGCCTGCGGGCCTGTGAAGAACAAGGCGCAGCACTGCGCGCCAGGGGCACCCCCAAGGGCCGCGCCCCCCCGCGTCTGGGCACCACCGCCTCGGGTATCCTGTCTAGGTGGAGGGTTGTGATGAGGCGGGCCCGAGGCCTGGACCCCACACTCACCATCCTCTAACTCCATCGCTCCAGTGTGTCAGCTCCTGAAGGGACTTCCCATCACCAGGACACCCCTCAATGGCTCGGGACCCCCGCGACGCGTGGGCGGCTATGCCACCTCTCCGTCTTCCCCCAAGAAGGAGGCGACCTCCGGGCGCAGGTAAAGCAGACCTTGTAGGAGGCTTGAGGGGCAAAGGCCTGAGCTCCAGCATCACTTGCGTTATCCCTTCATCACCCTGGTCTTTACACAGCAGCCGCCGCTACCTGTCACCTGAGCGTCTGGCCTCGGTGCGCCGCGAGGACCCTCGGAGCCGAACCACATCTTCCAGCAGTAACTGTAGCGCAAAAAAAGAAGGGTACGTAGTGGGGTGGGGCCCGAACCCCAGATAGGATGTGGAGTGAGTGCACGGGGGAATTTAGAGAGGAGCCCCTGACCGTGAGGTCATAACCTAGAGAGGGGTGAGCTTGTTCACAAGGGTTGGGTGCAGTGTTGGGATAGCCTGGTCAAAATGGAAGGCCTGCAGGGGCGTGGCCAAAATTGGGGGGTGTGGCCAGAGGTTAGGAAACTGGAACGAACCCCAAAGACAAGGGTGGTAAAGGGCAGCTGAGGAAGCTAGGGAGGAGCCAGGTTCATGGGTGTGACTATTAAGGTAAAAGAAAGTCTCCATTGAGTCTCAGGCTAGAGTCAGGGTCCAAGACTCAGAGTTTCTATAGGGAAAGGAAAATAATTAAAGATAAGGGTGCGGTTGGAATTTGGGGGTGCTGTTAGAGTTGGCTTGAGAAGAATCAGAACCTGGGGTGAGGAGAGTGGGGTTACCACCAAGTGAGGACCTGTCATTTCAGGAGCCTGTGTCTGGTAGAGCCAGAAGATGCCAGATGGAAATAGGATTTTAAACTTGGGTGGGGCCATAGTGGGTGTGGTCCAAGTTTAAGAGATTGCTTGGACAGCATTGGGACTGGGTTCTGAGAAAGTGGGCAGGGTCAGAATGCTTGGTGGGGTCTGAGGAAAGAGGTGAGGGAGCTGTCAGTTACTAAGAGAGGGAAGCTGAGTGTGATGGTGGCTCAAGCCTCTAACCACAGTAGAGATTGAGGGAGGCCAGTTACACAGTGAATTCTAGTACAGCCTGGATTAAAAATAAATAAAGGTGTAGTGTACTTGCCTGTCATCCCAGAGCTGGGAGGTAGAAGCAAGAGAATCAGGGAGTTCAAGGTCATCTTCTCACTACATACCCTGCTGGAGGCCAGCCTAGGCTACACGAGACCCTGTCTCAAGAGAGAGGAGACAGAGACACAGAGACAGAGAGCCAATCCAGGGCAAAGTTAGAAAGTGGAAGTGGGGAGCTGGAGAGATGGCTCAGCAGTTAAGAACACTGACTGTTCTTGCAGAAGACACAGGTTTGAATCTCAGCACCCACATGGCAGCTAACAACTGTCTGTAACTCCAGTTCCAGGGGATCCAACAGTCTCTTCTGACCTCCGAGGGTATTGCAAGACACGGGTGTGCTTACCTACATGCAGGCAATACACACATATACATAAAATAAATAAAATATTTTAAAAAACAATTAAAAAAATAAAAGAAAGTGGCAGTGGGTGTGATCAGAGGTGGAGTCAATTTAAGATTTGGGCAGAGTCATAGTGTAAGGGTGTGATCCTGCTGTCACTTGGTGTGGCCAATGTTGAGAGTCTGGGCTATGTCAACTGCCCCCTGCACATTTCAGTTTCACTGTAATAATATGTTCTGGTCAGGCTTAAATGCATTTGCCCATTCCATTCTCACAAGCACCCTAGAAAGTGTAGATATTCTATCCCATTTTTTAAAAGGTGTATTTATTGTTACTTTATATACATGAGTGTTTTGCCTGCATGTATGTAAGTGCACCACATGAGTGCAATGCCCAACGGAGGCGTTGGATCCCTTGGAACTGGAGTTACAGGTGGCTGTTAGCCATCATGTGGATGCTGGATGCAGGGAACCGAACCTGGGTTCCTCTTAATCGCTGGAGGCCAGCGATTTTTAAAATGAGGAAATCGAGGCAGAAGTTGGGCAATCTGTCCACGCTTCCAGAAAGGGGCAGAACTAGGGATTTGAGCTCAGGCAAGCTCGATCCCAGGTCTGTGCGATCCACTAGTCTCTCCGCTGCTCCCCCACCCCAAAGCGCTGGGTAATCAGGACTCCACTGGCCCGCCTGTGGGGATCCGGTGCACCCCCACACACCCTGCCTGGGTCAGGGGCAGAGGGCGGGGCACGGAGGGGCGGGGCGGGCGCCTCCCAGGGCCGGAAGCCGTGGAGTTGGTCCCGGCTCCACCCCCGGCCCCGAAGCTCCGCCGGCCGCCGCCATGAGCTGCTTTGGAGCTTGGTGAGACCCTTTCGCAAACACCCCTGAGCCTGATCTTCTTGATCCTGGATCCCAGGCCTAACCTATCCCACCAGGGAACCGAGCACCAAGGGCTCCCCTATTTCTCCTGCAGCCGAGAGGAGGTGGAGACACGCCCCTTCCTCTAAACTTTCACTGCTTACCTGGCTGCCAGAAATTTGGGGTGCTGGGATGAGGCGGAGGGAGGGGAGGAGGGAGTGCCGGGGAGCATTTTGCTGAATAAGAGGGAGGGTCCTTTAGAGACTGCAGTCTTCCAGGATCGAGTGCCTGCCACTTCGTGCTGTGTGATCTTTTGGCGATCTCTGCCTCTCTGGGCCTGTGTCTTAGGCTCTGCAAGATCTACCGAGCAAAGCACAGGGCCTGCAGAGAGGTAGCGCTCCGCTCCTTTCGCGCCTGATTATTCGTCAGAGACCTCCACAGAACCACGGGGTTGGGGAGTACTTCCTCACTTATCTGATCTGCCTGTTAAAACACTTCTTTTTTTCTTTCTTTTTATAATTGCATCTTATCCTGACAGCAAAACCAAAGAAGTTATCTTCAGCATGGGTGAGTGTGGAGGGTGGGCGGGGCCTGATTGATTGTTAGGCTTGGGGGGATGGGGGTCAGGGTTGGGGATCTGGTGTCCTGGCTGCTAGGCCTTTGCCTGTCTGTCCTGATTTTCTCCACCTGTTTATTAACAAAGAAAGAGAGATAGAAGGGGGAGGAAGAAAGAAAGAAAGAAAGAAAGAAAGAAAGAAAGAAAGAAAGAAAGAAAGAAAGAAAGAAAGAAAGAAAGAAAGAAAGAAAGAAAGAAAGAAAGAAAGAAAGAAAGAAAGAAAGAAAGAAAGAAAGCGAGCAAGCAGCCGGTGGCGGTGGTGGCACATGCCTTTAATTCCAGTGCTTGGGAGGCAGAGCCAGGTGGATCTCTGTGAGTTCAAGGCTAGCCTGGTCTACATAGTGAGTTCCAGGCCAGCTGGGACTACAGAGAGACCCTGTCTCAAAAAAAAAAAAGAAAGGAAGGAAAAGAGGTGGTGGAGAGATGGCTCAGCAGTCAGTTAAGAGCACTGGCTGCTCTAGCAAAGGACCCGGGTTCAATTCCCAGCACCCACATGATGGCTAACAACTGTCCCAGTAACTCCAGTTCCAGGGGATCCAACATCTTCTTCGGACTTTACATACATGCAGGCAAAATACTCACACATAAAATAAAAATAATAAATCTTTTAAAATTCAAAAAAAAAAGAGAGAGATAGAGCTAAGTGCCTGCAACCCCAGCATTTGGGAAGCTGAGGCTGGAAGACAGAAAATTGGAGAGGTCAGTCTGAGCCACTTAGAGAGACCCTGTCTACATGTAAAGGCTGGATGTGGTGGCTTGTAATCCCAGCACTTGGGAGGCTGAGGCAGGAGGATTATCTTGAGTTCCATGCAAGCCTGACTTACATAGTGAGGTGCAGGCCGGTCTGGGTTATAAAGACCCTGTATCAAATAACAAAAATAATGATAGTAATAATAATGATTAGAGGGATGGGATTAGGCCTAGGGGCTGGTGTGGCTGACCTCTGAGGGTGTCTTGGCAGAGGAGGGCTCCGTGAAGATGTTCCTTCGGGGCCGCCCTGTGCCCATGCTGATCCCGGCTGAGCTGGCACCTACGTACAGCCTGGACACACGCTCTGAGCCACCCTCCAGCCGGCTCAAGCTAGACTGGGTGTATCCTTTGGCTAAGCTTCCTCCCTGTCCCCTTGGAAGAGGGCAGGTCTTGGAGAGGGGCTTTCAGCAGGAGAGGGGTGCTCAGGGGCCTCAGCTGGGATTGACCTAGTCACAGGAGCCCAGATATGGCTCAGGGTGCACAGAGGGAAGCAGTGTAGCCAGATTGCCCTTCTGTAAGCTTTTAATACAGTGACTGTGTGCAGAGCACTTTGTTGACACAGACTACCCTTGAACTTCTTATGTAGTCAAGGATGATCTTGAACTCCTGATCTTCTCACCAAGTGCTGGGATGGTGGGAGTGCACCCAACCACTCCTGGCTTAGCACAGCACTTGTTTTGTTTTGTTTTGTTTTGTTTCTCACTATATAGCTCAGGCTGGTCTGGAACTTATTGTGTAGATTAGGCTGGCCTCAAACTCAACAGAAATCTGCTTATCTATGCCAAGTGCTGGGATTAAAGGTGGGTGCCACCACTCTGGAACAAAAATTTTTTGTTATAAAGGTGTTATTTTCATGGTACCCATTTCACAAGTAGGAATGGATAAAACAGTAGCTTCTCCCCCAAACAAGTGCCAGGAATAGCACCTAGAGCCTTGTACATGCTAGGCAAGCACTAAGCTATACACCTAGCCCTCAGAGAGGATTCTAGGCCAGTGCTCTACCACTGGGTCACGTCCCCAGTCCGTCACTGACAGATTCTAGGCAGGAGCTCTACCACTGAGCCATACCCCAGCCCCTCACTGGGGAATTCTAGGCAGGGGCTCTACCACTGGGCCACACCCCCAGCCCTTCACTCATGGAGTTTGGGCAAGTACTCTTAACAAGCCCTTGATTTTTTTTTGAGTGTCCCTATGGCTGGCTTTAAACTCAGCATCCTACCTTAGCCTTCCAAGTGATAGAATTGCAGGTGTGCACCTCACAGGGGGCTCCCTTTGCCCCTCGTAAAGACACCTGTCACTGGATTTAGGGCCCATGGATCTCCAGTAGGATGACCTCATCCTGAGATCCTAATTACATTTCCAGACACCCATATTCCACATACAGTCATTGTCACAGCTTTGAGGGAGGGGTCAAGACCCAAGACATAGACCTAGCAAAGCATGGTGACTGGCCTGTAGTCTCAGGAGACAGTAGGATTGCTGTCAGTTGGAGGTCAGCCTGGGCTACATTGTGGGACACTGCCAAAATAACCCAGAGAGGGTCAGGAACGTGGCTCAGTCAGCAAAGTGCTTGCTGTGCAGCATGGGGACCTGAGTTCCATTCCCAGGGTCCACAGGAGGAAAAAATAATGAGCCAAGTGTATGTCTGTAATTCCAGCACAGGGTGGGGCAGAGACAGGAAGATCCCTGGGGCTGGTTGGCCGGCCAGCCTAGCTGAATCTGTGAGCTCCAGGTTCAGTGAGAGACTGTCAAAATTAAGGTGGAAAAAAAAATAAGGTGGGGCATGATTGAGGGAGGACACCTAGCCTTGACCTCTGGCCTCTATCCCACTGCAGAAGGTTGGGCGTGGTGGCGCACACCTTTAGTCCTAGCACTTGGGAGGCAGAGGCAGGCAGATCTCTGTGAGTTTGAGGCCAACCTGGTCTACATAGCCAGTTCCAGGACAGCTGGGACAATAACAACAACAAAAAACCCACTGCAGAGGCAGCAGAAGAGACAGAATGTTCCAGGGGTCTGGCTGTCCAGAGAGCCATTCACTTTGCTCAACAGGCTCCTTAACCTGCCCCTGGGTATCTCCAGCTATGGCTACCGGGGCCGGGACTGCAGGGCCAACCTTTACCTCCTGCCCACTGGGGAGGTGGTGTACTTTGTGGCTTCCGTGGCTGTACTGTACAGCGTGGAGGAGCAGAGACAGCGGCACTACCTGGGACACAATGATGACATCAAATGGTGAGGCTGGTGAGGTGGGGCAGGGCGGGGGATGGGAAAGCACAGGCTTGGGCATTGATCCAATCTGTTGGCAACTGGGCCTCTTTCCGAGTGACTGCCACCATGGTGTGTGAGAGCCAGTGCAGGGTGTGATGCATCCAACCAGCTAC